ATTAAATCACCTTTCCCTTCATAATAAGCATGATATGTACTACAAATGTGTACATCTTTCAAAATTTTTATGAGTTATAATTTTTAATTTCATGAACTCAATTATCACTCTCCTTTATGAATGTATTTATCGATTCCCTTTAATTATCTTATTTTTATATTTATTTTTTTAATTTATTTTATTCTAACAAATAAACGAGACCTTTATTTTTGACTCTATCAAGATGGTTGAACTTGATATTATGATATACATTCCAGGCATTCACTATGCATCAAAGATTAACCTTGTTTACTATCCCAATCGCACTTGATACAATAATGGAAAGCGAAAAAAAAAATATCAATTCTATCAAACATCTGAATTGTATATGTTTATATAATTTCTTAAATCAAATCCATTGTATTTTAAGATTTAGAAACATGGAATGGTGTATACAATGAGTACAGGCATGAAAAAACCTTATAAATGCACGATGTGGATGTATGAATCTAGATTGGTTATGGATAGCATGCTAAAATTAATGCGTGGTAATCAGTCAACCATAATTCTCATTTTTCTCTCTGTTTTTTTTTTAAATCACAAGGTGCATGTAATTTTTATCAATGGTCAAAGTTATGTTACACCAAATTATACAAAAAAAAAATGGTAAGAAAAAAATGCATTGAATGGAATTGATTGCATATCAAATATTACTTCCTCAATTAAAAAATATAAAGTATTTTTAATTAAATCTCACTCTCAATAAAATAATTACTTATTTTCAAGTTAATATCATCTTTCTATATTTATCTCTATTTAATAGGATGTTTCACTCTAAAATAAAAATAAAGTGATTTATTAATTAAAGATATTTTAAAAAAATGCAATAATTATATCTTAAAATACTAAAAATACTTCATATAGGTGTATTTTTGTCTCTAAAGTATTTTTCAAAGAGCATCCAACATCCTAACATTTTTGTTGGAGCAATTTTACCCTTAAAGTTACTAAAATGAAGCATTTTTTCCTTTTCATTAAATTTTTAATGTTGACCTCAAATGTTGGCTGTGAAAAAATTTGACAAAAAAGTCAAAAGTACTATGTTTTAATAGGTTTAAGGGTAAAATTATTTCAACAAAAATGTTAGAGTGTTAGGTGCTTATCAAAAATATTTTAGGGACAAAAATATACCTTTACCCTACATTTTTAAATGAAAAAAATATAAATTAAACTGGCAAATATAAATGAAATGAATTAATATAAATTCCAAATTATAGATGGCATTTAACTTAAACCAATTAATGTGACTTCGAAATCATAGAATAATTGAAAAATGTTGATATGGTGCAGTGCCTGGCATTATGTTACCATATCAAAAAGAAAAAAATTATATACTTAATATTATATATTTAATATCTTTATTTTTAATTAAATCAAGACATGTATATTTTTATAAATTATTTATTTTATAACATATTTTTATTATTGATATTATTAATATATTAAAATTTACATATTTTAATTTAATTAAATAAAAGTATATTAAATATATAAGGTTAAATTTTGTCCAATTAAAAATGTCTTTTTGACTCATCATCCCAATGACAGTTGCTTTTATATACACAAATATAAATATAAATAGATACATGGATGGATAGGTAAATAAATATATAGATTTAAAATTTCATAAAGTCATTTTGTTTAAGGTGAAAATTGAATTTTTGAATAACCAAATATATATATATATAATAGTGATTATGGAAATTGTCAATAGCATTTTTAGAAATAGATAAATAAATAAAAGAAATTTTTTATACATGCTCAATGTATTATTAAAATTATTCATACACAAGATATTTAGATGAAAACTAAACCTCATTTTTGCTGGGAGGATTTTAGAGAGGAAGAGAGTAGAGGTGAGTTTCTGATGAATTTATTTTCTTAAAAAAATAATGGATGAGTAGTATATTATGAATTATGAAATCACAATAAACAGATTTCGATTACAAGATGAAAGAAAATTGATTAAATTTTTTTGGCCGACAGTTGATTAAAAATTTTTAACCTAACTTTTTTTTAAAAATCAAATTTATTATAATTTTCCCTCCATTTTAATACCCTCCAATTAAATAATGTATTAAAAATCGAATTGATTATTGAACCAGTCAAAATATTAATTTAAAAATTAATAATTAAAATTGCAGTTAAATTATGATAAGATCATCATAAATAAAACATTTTATTAAATCAGTCAAAATATTATTTTAATGATTTATTGATTTAAATGAAAAAGGTTGATTTGGATTCCTATGCCGTGATTAAACTGACAAAGGGGTTCAAACATGGTACTATATAAATGACGAATTAGTAAAGAAACAAATTCACCAATTTAGGTGCGTGAATGTTAAAAGCTCTCCTCAGTGGACTTGACTTTGCTCATCTTACCTCTTGTACCTCCACAACTCTGTTACATTTTAGAAAAAAATTGGCCTGTCCAAATAAATTTAAATGATTTAAATTTAATATTTTTATTTTTATATTTATTAAAATAAAAAATTTATAAATTTTTTTAATAAATCTAATCATCAATTTGAACAGTCCAAGTTTAATATAAATGATCCAAATTTAATGTTAAATTTTTTTATGATTTTTTATCAATTGACTATTTAGATATATTTTAGACCGTGTAAATTTAATATTAAAATTTTTAATATTAAATTTAAATCATTCATATTAAATTTAAACTGTTCTGACTGGTGATCATATTTAATAATTTTTTTTGTAAATTCAGATCATCCATATTAAACCTTGAATTGTTTAGACTGCTGATGAGATTTATTAAATTTTTTATAAATATAAACCATCCACGTTAAACCTAAACTATTCAAACTGGTGATTAAATGTACATATAGATCATTTGTAAATTTGGATCATCCATATAAATTTTTTATTTTAATAAATATAAAATAAAAATAAAAATAAAAACATAAAATCTGAACAATTTAGAGGAGCTGTGGAGGCACGGGAGGTAAGAGGAGCAAAGTTGAGTCCCTCCTCACCCGTGGTTAATGAAGCCTACTCCTTATTAGTTCCAGAAGAAGAAGAGAGAAACCAATTTACAAAATAATTACGAGAAATTAAAATGATATAGGACGTTGAATCTTGGTTTTGATAATTATAAAATAAGAGAAGTTTGTGTTTGATAGATTTACTAATCAATAAATAATGGCTTGTAAGGAAATTAATTAACATGGATTTAAATTTTTATATCTCGTATATCTTTCTCTTAAAATTCCTTATTCTTGAATACATGCCTTATTTTCAAATAAGCAGAAAGACGTAAACTCTTCTTAAATCTTTTTACTTCATATTTCTCATTAAAGATTAAGTATTTGACTTAATTGTCATCTCTTAAGGACCTCTTGTATTGCTTAAAAGGTGTCTCAAACATTTTTAGAATCAAAATCTCAACATCTTAGTGCTTTTATTAGTTTTCTAATCAATGGTCCTTATTCTAGAATAGTGAGCTTGTAAGCCTTCCTTATTCCCAAGTATCATTTATTTTACTTATTGAGAAATAGCCTATTTCGAAATAGCAACTCTCATTTCAAAATAGTGATATTATCTTCATAAGCTTATATGCATTGAGTTTTTTTGAAGTTTAACTTATTCGGGAATAGTCTAGTCAAGAATAGCTTATTCAAGAATAGCTGTTTTTATTTCCAAATAAAGTCTTTCAAATCAACGTCTCGTAACTCTTTTCTAATACATGCTCTTACTTCGAAATAAGCTCCCTGCATTTTCATTTATCTTGTTCTCCTTTATTCCTAAATAGTCTCTCCTGCTTTGAAATAAACACACTCATTCCTACTCTGTTTTGTGTAACAAAAACAAGGGCTCTTTGTAACCTCTTCGAAACTATTTCCTTTCGCGTTTTATGTGCCATATTGATCATATAATCTTTCAAGAATTATTCTAATGCATTCTTGAGATAAGTTGAGTTTAGATTGATCATACCCATAAAATCCTTACTTCTAAATAGCTTCTCTCTTTTGAAATAATATCTCACCTATTTCATCAAAACGTTTAATGAAAAGTGGTGTTACTTTGCTCACTTGCCGTAATAGAGAAAGTATCGCCAAAAAACACTGTTCCATTATCTTAGTTCAATGATTGTTCAGGCATTTCAGAGAAAAGAAGTCGTTGACTCTAACGACTGTATCCATGAGTGTAACGAATCCTTTACAAGCTTCAACTATGAATGTAGATAGTTATGAAGACAAAGGAGACACGAACGAATAAGAGAAAACTCAAGTGATTCATATTTATTATTCACTAACCTTTTGAGTTTATATAAATTTTCAGTGAGCTTCATTGATCATATATCAACTCTAAACGAAGGTATTTAATAGTTGTTGTTCACTTTTGAACATACTCTATTTGCCTCTATTTTACTGATTCATAATAAAGCAATTTAGACTTGGGAAGTTTAAATGGATTATTTCATTATCTATATAAGGGGAAGTAATTTTGATTTTAGTTAAAGTCTGGAATTATATTGAGACTATCAAGAGCCCGAATTAATCTTGATAAAATTAATAGAAAAATCTCAAACAAAACTTAAGGACTAGACATAGGTTCAAGTGGTTGGAGTAAATCAAGATAAATATCTGTGCATGCTTATCTTTCTTTATTTTTTTTATATTTGGTGATATCTCTCTAAATTTTTCTTCTTATTTTAGTTATTATTTATTAAATTTCTATAAATCTTCATTCATCCCCTAGGCGAACTTTCACAGGTGACATGATTACCGCAAATGATATAGTATTAGTTTTGGATCAACCAACGCTAATTAGTTTAAGAAAATAAATTTTATTAAAAGAAAAAGAAAAGAAACATTGAGTGATCGACACGCACTCGTTGACGGTCCGCGAACGAGCAGCGTGGGGAGAGTGGGGACCACCCACACATGCCTTTTGGCCCAAGCAGTTTCCCCTACATAAACTTCTCCTCTCTCGCCCTTCCACCCTCACTTCTTTCCTTTCGGGGTCGGTGTCTCAGACCCGAACTACCTTAATCCCGCGAAGTTGAAAATTTCTCATCCACTGGCATCAACTCCGGGAAAATCCGCCAGTGGGGGCAACAATCAGGTATTTTATCGTTTTGCTCTTGTGGATAACCCTATTGATTGATTGCATACGTATTTTCTTCATTCCTCTCTCTTCTTGAAATTCGAATCAGGAAAGCTCACTTTTAAGTAAGTTTTGTCTGGAATTGATTGCTATTGGGTTGCCAATATTGCGTTAAACATGTTGGCTTCTAAAGATTTCATTTCGGCGGATTGAGAAGGGGGAAATATAAATTCCCGCAAGCTGTTTTTCGTATAAATATACCTGCCTTTGTTGATGGCACGATTATTGATTTATTATAGAAGTGCTCAGATTATTTCAAATAATCTTGATTTTCTTTCTGTGTTTTGTTTTCTACTTTTCGAGGCTAGTTTATTTATGTCGATTAGATATTTTAGCTCTAAATTCATCAATGCCTTTTCAATCCATAACTCCTTATTAAATTTCGATTTGCAGTTGGAATAGAATCGGGTGAACTTCTATTTAGGGGTTTGGTCTGTGATTCAAGCCTTACTTCAGTGTTGGCGGAGACGAGCTTTGTGTGTGGAACATCACATACAATGAGCTTGCAAGTCCGACAAGAAAGAAGGGATCGGTCCAGGGTTCCTGCCCCAGGTCCTCGTCAGGAATGGGTTCCTAGAGCATCTGTCCCCACCACCACCCCGAATTTCCCACCATCAAATTACCCTTTGGATCAAAATGGTAATGCTGGTTGCTCAAATAATAATGTTGCTCCACCAGCAAATCGGCATAGAAGCAGTCACGGGTCAAGGGGTCACGTTAATCAGCCTATGAATCATAGAAGGGAAAGGGAAAAAGGACGAAACGAGAATCAGGTGGTGAAAGGAGAAAGGGACTCTAATTTGCCTCAACTGTTACAAGAGATCCAGGATAAGCTTATGAAAAGTATTGTGGAATGCATGATTTGCTATGACATGGTCCGTAGGTCTGCACCCATCTGGTCTTGCTCAAGCTGCTACTCAATCTTTCACCTGAATTGTATAAAGAAGTGGGCTCGAGCGCCTACTTCTGTTGATGTGTCTGCAGAAAAGAATCAAGGATTTAATTGGCGGTGCCCTGGTTGTCAGTCTGTACAACTTACGTCATCAAGGGAGATTAGGTATGTCTGCTTTTGTGGAAAGAGGCCAGACCCACCATCTGATCTGTATCTGATACCACATTCTTGTGGAGAACCATGTGGCAAGCCTCTTGAGAGGGAAGCGTTGGTTAATGGAGGGAGAGGGAGCAGGGAAGATCATTGCCCTCATGTTTGTGTTTTGCAATGCCATCCAGGCCCATGTCCTCCATGTAAAGCATTTGCACCGCCGCGTTTGTGTCCTTGTGGGAAGAAAACTATTACCACACGGTGCTCTGATCGGTCCTCTGTTCTTACTTGTGGTCAACTCTGTGATAAGCTTCTTGACTGTGGGCGTCATCAGTGTCAACGCATTTGCCATGTGGGTCCATGTGATCCATGTCAGGTTCTAATCAATGCCTCTTGTTTCTGCAACCAGAAGGCAGAGGTTGTTCTTTGTGGAGACATGGCTGTGAAGGGTGAAATTAAAGCTGAAGGTGGTGTATTTTCTTGTGGTTCCAATTGTGGGAAGAAGCTTAGTTGTGGTAATCATGTCTGCAATGACATTTGTCATCCAGGCAGCTGTGGTGAGTGTGAATTCTTACCAAGCCAGATTAAGACATGCTTTTGTGGGAAGACAAAATTGGAGGAGGAGCGACATAGTTGTCTAGATCCAATACCAACCTGTTCACAAGCATGTGACAAGCCTCTTCCTTGTGGGTTGCATCATTGTAGAGGGGCATGTCATTCTGGGGATTGTTCACCATGTTCAGTTCTAGTCTCCCAAAAGTGTCGGTGTGGTTCAACTTCTCGAACTGTGGAGTGCTATAAGACAATGAGGGAGAATGAGGCATTCACTTGTGAAAGATCTTGTGGGCGCAAAAAAAACTGTGGAAGGCATCGATGTAGTGAACGGTGTTGTCCACTTTCTAATCCAAGTAATCGTCTAAATGGGGAGTGGGATCCTCACTTTTGTACCATGCCATGTGGAAAGAAGCTAAGGTGTGGGCAACATGCATGTGAATCCCTATGTCACAGTGGCCATTGTCCACCTTGTCTTGAGACTATCTTCGCTGATTTGACATGTGCTTGTGGTAGGACTTCAATCCCTCCTCCATTGCCTTGCGGTACACCCCCTCCTTCATGTCAACTTCCATGTTCAATTCCTCAACCTTGTGGCCATTCAGCCTCCCACAGCTGCCACTATGGAGATTGCCCACCTTGCTCAGTGCCTGTGGCAAAAGAATGTATTGGTGGGCATGTGGTTCTTAGGAATATACCTTGTGGATCAAAGGATATTAGATGTAATAAACTCTGTGGGAAGACCAGACAATGTGGTTTACATGCTTGTGGCAGAACATGTCACCCTCCACCTTGTGATATTCCATCTAGTAGTGACCAAGGTCTCCGAGTTTCTTGTGGTCAAACATGCGGTGCTCCAAGGAGAGATTGCAGGCATACATGTACAGCTGCATGTCACCCTTCAGCACCATGCCCTGATATAAGATGTGAGTACTCTGTTACAATTACTTGTTCTTGCGGTCGTGCAACAGCAAATGTTCCTTGTGGTGCTGGTGGTGCTAGTGGTAATTATAACATGGATTCCATACATGAAGCTTCCATAATTCAAAAGTTGCCTGTGCCACTTCAACCTGTGGAAAACAGCAAACTCATTCCCCTTGGACAAAGAAAGCTTACATGTGATGATGATTGTGCTAAGCTGGAGCGTAAAAGGGTTCTTGCTGATGCTTTTGACGTCAACCCTCCAAACTTGGATTCTCTTCATTTTGGTGAGAACTCTACTACTAATGAATTGCTTTCAGACATGCTCAGGCGTGATCCTAAGTGGGTTTTCTCTGTGGAGGAGAGATGCAAATTTTTAGTTCTTGGCAAGAGCAGAGGAGCAACACATGGTTTAAAAGTCCATGTTTTCTGTCCTATGCTGAAGGATAAGAGAGATGCAGTGAGGGTTATTGCTGATAGATGGAAGTTGGCAGTGAATGCTGCTGGTTGGGAGCCAAAGCGTTTTGTCATAGTTCATGTTACCCAAAAGTCAAAGGCTCCTCCCCGGGTGCTTGGGGTTAAAGGTACAGCAACGGTAAATGCAACCTTGCCTCCACAATTTGATCCCTTAGTAGACATGGATCCCCGTCTTGTTGTTTCCTTTCCAGACCTACCAAGAGAAGCCGATATAAGTGCTTTAGTATTGAGGTTTGGCGGTGAATGTGAACTTGTTTGGTTGAATGATAAAAATGCATTGGCTGTCTTCCATGATCCTAGCCGAGCTGCGACTGCAATGAGGAGGTTGGATCATGGAACAGCTTATCATGGGGCTGTGGTGGCCGTGCCAAATGCTGGGTCATCAGCTACATCTGTTGCTACAAATGCATGGGGAGGACTCGGGATGGTGAAAGAAGGAGGAGCGCTGGCAGCATTGAAGGGGAATCCATGGAAAAAGGCCGTGGTTCAAGAGCCTGTCTGGAGAGAAGATTCTTGGGGTGATGAAGAATGGACTGATGGTTCTGCTAACCTCCAGCCTTCTGTCTGGGCGAGAGAAACTCCTAAAGTCCCAATCACAGCTTCATTAAATCGATGGAGTGTCTTAGACCAAGAATCATCTTCAAGTTCATCTGTTGCGACCATTGGAACTGATGTTTCTCGGAAACACTCAGCAAGTTCATCTTCTGTTCCAAGGATGGAATCTGAATCCAGCGGATCTGTTCCAGGACAGCATGAAGAGAATGCTAATGCATCAGAAGTTTCTGAAGTAGTAGATGATTGGGAGAAAGCTTATGAATGATAAAAGGGAATGAATTGAGCAAGCCCTTCTTTTTCTTTTTCTTTTTGCTTCTGTTTTTTAGATGTCATTTTGTTGAAAAGGATAGACAAGATTGTATGGCCTCTCGGCCTGGCGTAAGAATTTTGGCGTGTTGAGGCGATTCTCTCATTTGCGGTGAATGTCCACTCTTTAATTCTTTGGTCCTAACTCCTCATTGACAAATTATTGACTTGTCATTTGGTATTCTTTTACGCTAACGTAATGGATTTGTGCGAACAATATTTGGAGCAGTCATATGCTATTAATTAATGCTTATCACGCATTTTAAGCACATCCATTTAATAATGCATAGGATCTTAAAACGTGGCTTCCAGATTTTGACATCACGGGCAAATTGAAAGATAAATTCTCTTCAATAACCAATCTCTTACAGGCGAGTAGGTAGTAGGTGATGGTGCTTCACTAACTTCCTTATTCTTTATTAATTTCCAGTGCATGTCCATTGATTGTTTCTATTTTTATCGCATCTTCATGGTTTCAACCCTGATCAGACTGCATGCATAAGAAACTGTGCCTTTGAGTAAACGGATATAAATGAGAAGGAAAAATGATCACTTGAAGAGATCGTATAATTTGATTTGAATTGATAATTGGCTTAGATATAGCTTTCCTCGTTGGCTTAGATTTGATTTTTCCTAGAGTTTTATGAAGTAAGAATATCAACACCGAAGAGATGACTTTCTCTTTGGGGTAAAAAAATTTAGTTCCAACAATTTACTCTGTACTTTTAAATAAGTGATTTGATTTGTTTTCACTTAATTACTATTACTACTATTCATAAAACTTCGACAGGGACAATATAGAAGTTTCCATAAGAATCTGTGATAGCGGCATATGCAATAATCAGACCACATGTGCACTTGTTCACCCTACTTGTCAATCCTGACGGAAATCCATGTGACTCTTATATCGTTGTTATCGACTTCCCATTTCAATCTCAGGTTCATAATGTACTAGTCAATTTTATCTTTATTGTAATGCATAAAAAATTATCCCCTCTTTCTCTCTCTCCCTGCATGAGATATTCTGTTGTCATTGTCACTTCGGCATGCCCTCTCTACTACCTAACATGAAATAAATAAAATATTTATATTGAAGAAAGAAGGATTGGCTGGTCACTGATTGTGTGCTGATACAAGGCAGCCAAGTCACGGGATCAAACTAGTGAATATCACTATGTGAGATCTCTCTGTTTTTCAATGACTTTGGGTATTGGATTTGGACTTTGGGACTTCGGAGGGTCCTTTTAAGCTTGCTTAGTTTACTCCGTATTTTCCTCTCAAGAGCATTGATTGAATCGCTCCTCATAAATGTTGCTGCTGATTTGTTCATCCCATAACTTATTTTCCCACTCAAATTCAAGTTTATGATTTGCTTCATCATTTCGTGTTTCTAATTATGGATTGTCAACTGCATCCTGATGCAATCTTTGATGAGGTTAAGGTAAAAAAACCTTTTCTCTTTGTTATTATAAGCCGTTTCTTGAAACTAACAAATTGCTTGCATGGGCTTTTTTGGGTGGGACTTTTCCTTGTGTTCGTTATTCCAGATTAGATGAACTTTTTGTTCCTTTGATATCTGTCAGAAAGGTGCAAATGGAAGTGCAATAAGCCAGACTTATACGTCATTTTCATCCTTTATTTATAAAGTATAAATCTCTGGCCCTCTGGCTTTCTGGGCTGAATTCTCAAAAGGTGTGAGGATTTAAGGATTCTAGAGATGAAGAAAAAAAGCCATCTTTTCTGAGATGGACCGTTATTATAAGGAGTAGTTTTTCTTTAGTCATTTGTAATTTTCTAGTCCTAAGTTATTTTATAATAGGTAATGATTTTTGAAGAAGCAATCAGGGATGTGGTCCTTTTGACGATAGAATGTTCCTGTCTGAAAGATCTTGTGCAGTATTTTTTTCCCATCTGTATATACACATGCATTTTTTTGATATAACAAGCCTTATCCCATTAGGTAAGATCTTGCATTTATTTGATAAATAAAGAAATTCAAAATTCATCCTGTCTTGTCATACTTTGGTAGAATTTATTGTACATCCGATAGTCATAGGCTCATAGCCTTTGGGTCTTACTCTGTCCAGGTAAATAATAGGCTTCAATTTTTTATCTTACAAAAGCAGTGTCTTGGAAGCTTTTTTTTCATACATGTTATACTTTGGCAGAATTTGATCAGAGAGGTAATTCTGTTAAAAATAGGTGAAATTATAGTTTTTAGAATGAACGAAAGAAAAATCAAAGGATTCTCAGTTATAGTGTCAGCACCATGAAAGGCGAAGTGTTTTGATCCATGGGTCACTTTTGCTTGGTGATGAATATATCCACCCACATTTTCTTTATTTATCTTTTGTCTGAAAATGGAAAAACCATTATAAAGAGCAATTTCTCTGATGAAGGTATAGTTAATGCAGTTCCACTGATAAGTGATTAGCTTTTTTTGTGATATGGCATAATGATGCATAATTGCCCCTATACTCAGAAACAAATTCTTCAATGCATGCTGTGTTAAAAAGAAGAAAGACGGATTGTGGAACTCGGGAGAGATTCATTTTTTTGTCAAGCACGCCAGGTTTAGAGCACTAAGTCTCATTTGATACGAAGGAGTCTAAGATTTGCTGGTTCAACCCAGTCAGATTTAACAGCACAGTTCTGTTCCCCAGAAATTTTTTAGATTGGTTTACATTGAGCAATAAGCAGTCTGTGTATGCGTATTAATTAATACGTGATTGACACCAAGGTTTGTCAATGTTTACAATCTCATGTTGCTTTAAAGTTTCATTCCATCTGTGCTGAAGATCCCAAAACTACATTTTAATTATGCAACTTTCTTTTTTCTCCCTGTCATGACCAATTCTGTTTCAATTTTCTTCAGAAGAAAACATGGAAGCAAACTATTCTTCTGTCTTCTCAAATCGTTGGAGTTGTTTATGGTCAAATAAGCACCGCACCCTTGTATGTTTTTGGGACTATGTATCCATCGGATGTGAATTCCGAGGAGGTTGTTTACGAACTCTTCTCATTCATATTCTGGACGCTGACTGTCATTTCCTTACTGAAGTATGCCTTTATAATGCTGAAAGTTGATAATGATGGAGAAGGTAATTAATCATCTTCATTAATCATAAAATTTTGACAGAATAAAGCCTTCAAAATTTGACTTCTCATGGAAGAACTTTTTTTAGGTGGTACTTTTGCGTTATACTCACTCTTATGTAGACATGCAAAAGTTGGCCTGCTCCCAAATGATAGAAGCACTGATGAGGTTATGCATTATGAGGATAAGAATCCCTCCCACAGGAATGTTGATTCAAGGGCTCGAAGGGCCATTGAGAAACACAAAAGCTGTCACTATTTGCTGTTGTCATTGGCTCTCTTTGGATCCTGCATGACTATTGGTGACGGGGTTCTCACTCCGGCTCTTTCTGGTACATAAGCCTTGTTCATACTTAAATTTGCTAGAAGTAATTATTTGATTCAGAGTTGTCTTATTTTTCCTTTGGTGATCAAGTTATTTGGCTTCAATGACTTGGTTTATTTCCGGCTTCTTACCAGCCTTGTCAGCTTCGAAGGGTGTTGAACGATCCCTGACAGATTTGTCACGCATATGTAAGAGCTAGGGGTGAAACTAGAAATCAAACATAAATTTTTGTACTTTTCCATTCAATTTCTAGAAAGAGTTTTTTTTTAACCTTGTTGTCTATGATCATGACCAGTTTCCTCTTCACAACATTCTCAGCAGTCAGTGTCAGACGCTATTAAAAAATGTAAGTTCTTGCCATGTTCATAGATATCTCAATTTGAATAATGTCCAGTCTCTGCTATTTCTTTGGAACATATTAACAATATATTTATCCGATGGACCCATGCTTTCAGAACATGCTAATGACCAGTCTGCATTAAGCACATTTTGGCTTTATCATTAACCAGCCTTTATTCCATTATTTGTTCAAGTTCTTATCCATTATAGGATTTCCAATTGAGTAATTCTTTCAAATATCCCACCAACCTTGATAACTTCAGGGATGTGCCATGGGGTGATGAGAAAGCCATTTATAGTTTAACTCACTATTTGTCATACCTGACATCTTGTTCAACTTCTGCTTGACTTGTTCCAGATGTACCTGTTCCTTCTTCGTGTGTTATATTGGTTGGCCTTTTCGTGCTGCAGCCTTGTGGGACACGCAAGATTGGATTCATGTTTGCTCCAATCATTTTTGTTTGGCTGTTATTTGTTGCCGGAGTGGGAGTGCATAATATTTTCCAGTGGGATGTGAAAATCATTTATAAAATATCCCCTCTATACATGTTAAGATTCATCAGAAATATTGATGCACGCAGATGGAGGTTGCTAGGGAGTGTCATTTTATGTGTGGCAGGTTGATGTCTTCTCCATATAATTGTGCAAGCATAACCCAGTGATTAAAATATAAAACTATACAGTGATTTGAATTTCTGTCTCATTGCAATTACTTTAATCAATATGACAAGATGCTTGATCTACTTGTCCGCAGGATCAGAGGCTATGTTTGCTGATCTAGGACATTTCTCCCAGAAATCAATCAAGGTAATATGTATAATCTTTTTCTGTAATCTTCATGCTAAGAGTAACTGAAACTGTTGTAACTTATGTGTGATGTGTCTGTTGTAGATAACATTCATCTGCTTGATCTACCCACTTCTTGTTTTAAACTATGCGGGTCAGGCTGCATATATCTCCAAGAACTTTAACACTGAAGATTTCATTCATCTTAGTGGATCTATGCCTAGTAAGTTGGTCAAGTGCTTTTATTTCAAGATGTTTATTTTTCCTTTAAAATTAACATCAATAAAAGGAGTGCTTGGTGATTTCAGGAAGCTGCAATCATATTTTTACAATATTATCCCTATTTGCCTCAGCTGTTGGAAGCCAAGCGACGATAACAGCGACTTTTTCCATAATTAACCAGTGCCTCGCTCTAAATTGCTTCCCCAGAGTAAAAGTTATTCACACATCAAAGAAGATACATGGACAGATTTACATCCCAGATATCAACTGGTTATTGATGATTCTCAGTCTCACTGTTACTATTGGTTTCCGAGACCTGGTGAAAATTGGTAATGCGACAGGTATGATGCTTTATTGGCATCTTGTTCTTCTCCTGGAAAATTCTTAACTTTTAGTGGTGGGAAAGTATTGTTTCCTCTCACGTGATCCCATAAGCTATTGTTCTTGTGTTCTATGTCAAATATCAAATATGAGTCAAATAATCATGATGGAAAAGGAAGCTCTTGGAATAATAAAATGTAGGCAGCTGATGGCTACTTCTAGAACAAGGTGACTACATGAGTAGACTGATAAGTGTATATATATATTGGCCAGAAAGTAAACTGATATACTATTTCTTGTGACTAAAGCTGATTCTAGAAAACTTTCCAATGACTTGATTAGAAAGCTAATGACATTCTCCCTTGACAGCTTTGGCTATAATTAGTGGAATGCTGGTGACAACTAGTCTAATGTCACTAATCATTGCTCTGTACTGGGAGAAGAACTTTTTTCTCTCTGCATGCTTTCTTGTTTGTTTTGGCTCTCTTGAGGCTGCATATCTTTCAGCATGTCTGCTACAATTTCACAAGGGAGCATGGTATCTGTTTGTTCTCTTGGTGGTGACCATGACGATCATGATTGCATGGCATTATGGAACTAAGAAGAAGTATGAGTTTGATACAGAAAACAAGGTGCCCACCGAATGGCTCATAGAGGTTAGTCCAAATCTCAGCATTTCAAGAGTACCGGGAATTGGCTTCATTTACACCGACATTGTAGCTGGAATCCCGGCTTTCTTTTCACATTTCATCACAAATCTTCCTGCATTTCATCAAGTCCTGATCTTTGTGTCCTTCAAGTCTCTACCTGTGCCTTATATCCCAGAAAGTGAAAGATATCTGATCGGCAGGATTGGTCCAAAAGTTTACAAAATTTACAGATGCATTGTCAGATATGGATATTGTGATCATGTTAGGGACTCTGATAATTTTGAGGAGCAGATAATCCGTTCCATTGGGGAATTCATTAATGTTGAACAGAGTGACATAGAATCCATTGATTCCCCAGATAGAAGGATGATCATCATTGGAAATTCATCATCATCCCAAGGAAATGCTTTAGTTCCTCTGGAGGATCTCGAATCAACCGACATGCCAAGCCTAGTGAGCAGTGAATCTCAGGTAAGTCCAGTTGCTAGTCCTCCTCCTGCTGCTAAGAGAAAAAAGGTCAGATTCATGTTGCCTGCAAATAGTCCTAAAATGCAGGCATCAGTAAGGAAGGAGCTCTTAGAGCTAATCGATGCTCGGGAAAGCGGTAGCGCCTATTTCCTGGGCCAATCTCATTTAGTGGTTCGTGATGGCTCAAACATTCTGAAGCGATTCCTGATCATGACATACCACTTGAGTGAAAAGAATTGCCGTGAGCCTCCAGTAGCACTGAAAATTCCTCATGCTGCTCTCGTAGAAGTTGGTATGGTCTGTACTATATAAGCTTCTGAAGAAGTGAATGCAGTTTTAGTAACACACTCACACAAGGGAAACATGAAGGTTGGAATAATTAAAGATTACATAAGAAGAGAAACATATTGATATTTTATGTGAAATATGACAGATATATTTTGTGTTCTAGTTGCATGGATATACGGAGAAAGAATTAATACTATTTTGGTGTCCTGATATGGCTACTTTTCTGCCCATATTTTTCGATGTTCTTTACTTCCTTTTATGTTTTCTAGAAGTTACCTCAAAATGTTGCTTCACACATTTCCTAGTTCTAGCTTGTGAGACTTTGAAGTTTGAACCTTCTCGGTAGCAGTTCTATAAAGAAAAACATCTTATGAAATTTTCTAGCTTGAAAATCAACTATAACTTTCAAAAGCTTGTCTTGGTTTTGTTTAAGCTTTACAGAAATAGAGAGTTTTGTGTTTGAGCATGTTTGGATAAAGCCTTAACTGAGGTTTCCAAAACCTCAGTTAGGATCTGAAATCTCATCTAAATCTTGTTTGGTTTAAAAAATTCTGAGAATAGATTTTACCCAGACAAAAAGCTGATGTAATTGTGGAAGTAACATACCACAGTTGGACTTACTAAAATGCGCATTTTGAGAAAGAGATCCAAATCCAAACAACATCTGGAAATTGGAATTTTATCTCATGTCAAAGGACTTTTTTCTTATGCAAACGTAAAAACCAAATAGGTCCTTAATATATGAACCTTCCATATCTGTCCACTCTCAAGTTCTAACTGATCTTAAACGCATCCATTAATGATATTAGAAAGAATTAGTTTATTAAGGATTCATTTTAATTGTTCTTAATGCTACGGTTTGGGTTTGCGCCATGAGATAATTGACCATAAAATCTGAACATAAAAGCACATCTATTGTCTTAGCACCATTATATCTGTGAAAACTGTTCATCAATAGTTTTTTAAAGGAAGAATGATAATTAGATTTCAAAATTTTGAATTAATGACAATTAGGTTCCTAACAAAATTTTCTAAAAAAATAAATTACAGTTATCAATTCAAATAATTATAAATAAAAATTCATAATTACAATTTAAGTTACATTTGAAGCTTAAATATCTTTTCTACAATTGAACCTTCTAAATTTGTGCTTGTCTACATATGCAGCACATAAAAGGTTCAGCGACACTTTACAGTTTACACAAACATTCGTCTTTTGCCAATTTAAATTGGGCAGAATTACAATCAAGTCACATGTAGGAATTAATTATTATAAAATTTATTAATAATAAAATTAAATTGTATTGTTAATATAATTTAATTCTAATAATAGACTTTACAATAATTAATTTTTTTATGTGAGACTTTAATATAATTTTTTTATATTTTATTTCCTATACTATTTCAACAAGACTTTTCATTACACATGTCCTCCTTTATGCTATAAAAATTAAATTACATGGAGATTGTACAGAAATTACACAGAAAAAAAAATTAAATTCCTTTTTGAAATACCACTGAGTTTCCAAAAAAAAAAATCTCTCCTTTCTATATATATATATATATATTTAAAAAAATCAAGAGAGAATTTCAGTAAAGATATCTTGTTGGGTTTAATTTTAAATCAAAACCAATAGAATTTAAAAATACATGACAAGATCAAGGGATTAAATTAAAAATATATTCTGATAAAAAATGATTAAAATATATTTCTTTTTCTCTAACAAGTTAGGTTTTAAGTTAGGGTTTTAACAAGTCAATAAAATTGAATATGTAGAAAATATAATTGTCAAGTTTTCCTAATGAATTTACAAGTACATATTTTTGGAATGACAAGTTTTCCATAATCCTACAAGGTATTTTAGATTCTGTTGGTCTTAATTTAAATTAAACTCCTACAGGGGTTCTTTGTTGAAATTCTCCCTAAAATCAATGGCCACCTGGATCACACATATAATGTTAAATAATGGGGTTACATGGTTTGCTGTAATACGATGTAATGAAGATTCTGTTGCAGTACTTTACTATTGCAACTAAACATGATGAATGGTTAAAGATCCTGATACAGGAAATTGAACCAAGTTGCCAGTGTGAAATATGTGGGGCTACGTTGCGACCATACCTGTGTGAAGGAATCAGAAAAGAACAGACATCTGATAAAAGGTAAAGCAAACAAATTGAACAGTTTGAGTTTTGGCCCTTTCAGTTGGACCCGAAGACGCAGATGTATGATCAATAATAACGCCATGTTTTATAGGTGAGGCCATTTCATCAGAATATTATTGGGAAAATAGTACACTGTGGACATTTTTTTAGCAAAGAAAAAAACTAAAAGATTATGATTTTGCGCTTCAAAACCAAGGGGACTAAAATGTACTTTTATAGTTTTCTTTATAAATCATTTTTCATCAATATTAATATTGAAGGAATATTAAACTAAATAATATATCAAAATAAAGGAGTCGGGTTAGAATCTTACCAAATTCGGGCGTTGCAAAATCTACCTGAATATCCTCATGAGATTATACTACTAAGGTTTAGACTATAGTGCACAGTAGATGCACCAAAGAGAAAGAAAGGGAGAGAAAAAAAAAATTAGAGAATAGTTTGTTCTAGTGTCTGTTCTACCTCCAACTACCTCTATTTATAGTGAAATGAGGCATCTGTATAAAAGTAAGATCCAATCAGCATTAATTTGCCTTATTATAGAGGAAATATGCTGATTGGAATAATTGCAATTAAGATAGAAGATCGTTTTCTTTTTTGACTATTAATCATGCATTAATACCAGATTCTTGTCAACTCATTATGACCAAAGCTATGACTTATCATGGATGAAAATTAATTTCAAAAATTCTTGCATCTCCCACTCGTACATGATGAGACTATTATCATGCGAACTCTATCTCTTTTCCTTCATACTTGGTGCTCTGCCATGACCGTGTGAGCACGACGTCCTCGATTTGAATGTTTATGCACTAGAAGTCCTAGGATAGGATTAGCACACAAAGACATCTTGTTGTATACCTACATTATAGCTATAAGTTGCCTCAAGCACCCTAGATTTACCCATAAACATTACTCATGGCATATCTAATCCACCTCGAGTTATTTATTTAACTAAGATTGCTTTCTCATATGCTTAATGTTTGCACTTACAAATTCTCTACTTGTAAGGGACTTGTCTCAAACACAAGCATGATTGTGTATTTTAAGGTTAATCTTCCTTCAGACCTTATGTCAATCAACTTTGACTTCGTTGCTTTCCCAATACTCGACCTGTTAGATCGAATCAATCATGACTATAGGGTACAGGCTAAAGTGACTGTCACTAAGTCATCCTCTTATGACATTATCTAAGTCCTAAGGGCACTATGAAAGGATTTTTCTCCTTCATAGGACTCATATAGTGATAGAATAGGGATCCTTCCATCCACTTCCATTATTGCAGTCAAAATTTAAGCACATGCAGTATGAATTGCTTTCTACAATGTTTCTTTCTTAAGAGTGTATGTCAATTTTGATTCATCAACATTGTCCAAGCTTGAGTCTCAAATACACACAATACCTGAACTATAATTCTATGAATCACTCATAACGCCCTTTCTCAAGGAATTCTTTGCTTGGTTACAAGCATCATGGATTGCAACTATCCATGATTCAATCTAGACTTTAGATTCCATATCTCACCTTGATACTACTATTCAAGGTGATATTTATTATATGATTCTTCTCAACCATTCCATTATTTCTCTTTAAATGGGCGGTGATCATATTATATCTCATCTCCTTTGCTCATCTTAAGCATTGAAGGTGACTGTTTATGTGAGAGAACCAGCCATTTAAACCTATACGAACACTTGAGTATTGTACACCATTACACTCATGTCTGCTAAGAGAAATGCATAACTTTATTTATGAGATAAGTTCAAATGTATTACAGCCTACGCATACCCAAAGCCTTCACATGTTTCACAAATTCTGGTTTTAGGATCATAGTTGTCAAGACATCCATAACATCTTATTCTTTTAGGACGTGAGATTTTGCAATGCCATATGTCATAGTTGTCCCCGTTAAGCTTATCACCCTTATTAAGCTTAGCAATTATGGACTTAGTTACCATTACTGTGACATAGAAAATTATGCACTCTTAAAATAGTATACAATATAGTTTATTCAAGTTAGATCCTTGGCCAACTAAATTACTAGTTTCATGTTCAAGAGATAACTAAGTTAACTCACATTCCAATCTTTATAGCTAGACTACTTTCCTTTTGGTTAGGGTCTTAGTTGAATTTGTTTCCCCTTGCATCCTTTTCAAATAACACATTCTAGAAGGACTCCCACTCAAATAAAGCATTAAAATAGATAATAGATATCCATAAAAGAAATATATATATATATATATTATAAAGCTTAAACAATTAGATAACAAATATCCATAAAGCAATTTTAATACGTTTGAAAATATTCAAAAGAAAACCCAAAAATAAAAATGGGCCAAGACTAAGAATAACTCAAAAATAAATCAAAAAGACCAACACATCTCAATAAGAAGTTCAACTTTGTATTTATTTGTATTTTTTCATTCCAGATTTAACTTGTTCACTCTATACTTCGATGGCTTATTGCTTGCCCATTTGATCCAATTGGTTCCTGAGTTCCCTTATGGTTGTGCATAAGAAATATAGCTACAGGTCTTCTTGAAAGAAAACCTCAAGAGTTTCCAACATTTCCTTTAGGTCATCAATATGTCTAATTTTGTTTGCATATTTCTTTGCAATATCTCTAACCAAAGTGGGTGTCAGAGGTTGATCAATTTCTTAATCCTCCAATTTCTTCTAGATCTCACAAGATCCTTTGCTAGAGATAGGCTCTTTTTCTTTAATTATGCTCTCAGAATATGATTTTAATGAAGCCTCTACTTTCTATAAGGAATTGCTCAGCATAACTTTCATGAAAATATTTTCTTCCTCATCAAAAAATAAGATAGAGAAGAATACGATGGAGAGTCTCGACTATAAGACATATTCTTTAAACATTTTATTAAAAAAATGGTAAAAGAAACAAAAATGAACACATAAAACTTGCATGAAAACAAGTAAATAATATATCATTTTCTAGATCATGAATTTAGAGATTTTTAGGTCCAAACCTTACCCTAAAATGAGCTCTTACATGCCCATACGCACCTCCAAAAGGCTTTGGAATAAAAAATTCATGACAAAATGAAGAGTGGGATGAAGCCAACTCCTGGTGTAGGCGCGTAACCTACACATACCACCATGGGGGCAGAATTTCACCACACGCATCACGCTATTAGATTTATCTTATCGCCACAAGCCCAACCATGTGTTTATATTAACAAAAGATTGACCACACAACGTTCACAAGCCGACCAAGCGAGTAAAGGGAAAAAAAGAAATTTAAAAAAAAATAAAGGGCTGGATCAGATCGGGTCAACCTACCTAGCCTATGTTAACCATTGACAGGATCAACCCATTAACTCAATCAAACTAGGTCTGACCAGTTGAGTTGGGGAGAGCCCAATCTAATGTGCTACGTTTTAATAATGAAACGCAGCACCCTGTAAGGGCCAAAAAGACACATCATTTTGGTTAAGGTCAAACGATGTGTCATTGAGGTTGTCTTCAACCTCCAGCTGGGTTAATCTAACCCGTCAGTTCATCATCATTTTTTACTTGTTTCTCCTCCGTCCGACGTCCATTTGATGTGATTTCAATCTTGTTGGAACTATCTCTTCACCCTTTACACAACCACACCAATTGTGTAGGCTAAAAACTTAGATTTCAAAATACCATATTTTCAAAAAATTCTTCCTTTGCATTGTTCGAAGAATGGCTTCAATAGAGGTTTTGGACGCTTCCAAAAAAGTTTTCCAACTCATAGATGTATGGGGAGGAAGAAGAAGAGAGAGTCTAGAAGCAATAAAAGCACATACACACAAAGATCTAAATTAGAACACAAATCCAAAAAAAATGAAAAATAATTATGGGAAAAAGAAGAGGCCAAGGAATAGCATGAAAAAAAAAATGAACACATTCAATATAAAAACGCAACAGAAAGAATAGCATGCTAAGAAGCCAGCCAAGTCCTAAATCAAGGTAAGGAAAGCCTCTTGATCAACAAATGGCTGAGAGAGAAAAGGGATGCATGATCCACATTCAAACAAAAAAAAAAAATCCATGATCGAAGCCGTAGGAATGATAGGGCATTGATGCCAATGAAGGAATATTAAACTAAATAACATACTGAAATAAAGGAGTTGAGTTAGAGTCTTACCGAATTCGAGCATCGCAGAATTTACTCGAATACCCACACGAGTTTAGACTACCAGAGTCTAGACTATGGTAAACAGCAGATGCACCAAAGAGAAAGAGAGGGATAGAAAGAACTAGAGAATGGTTTGTTTTGGTGTGTGTTCTACCTTCAGCCACCCTCTCTATTTATAGTGAAACAAGGCCTCCGTATAAAAGGAAGATCCAATCAACATTAATTCGCCTCATTATGAAGTAAATATGTTGATTGGAATAATCGCAATTAAGACAGAGGATCATTTCCTTTTCTAGCTATTAATCATGCATTAATACTAGATTCTGGTCGACTCATTATAACTAGAGTTATGACTCATCATGGACAGAAATTAATTCCAAAAATTCTAACAAATACAAAAAAGTAATGAAATAAAAGTGTGTAAAATTTTAAACCTGTCCTTATATAACAAATTTAAAAAATAATGTCATGTTACTTTTCCTCTCTTATAAAGGATAATTTCAAAAATACTTTTTAAATATTAACTAAAAAATTCCACCATAACTTATAAATAGAACCAAATAAATATTCTAAAATATATCTTATAAATGAGATTGAAAAGAGTAACTAAATTTGAATGTGAAAAAACAGGAATACTCTTACTTTAAAAAAAAAAAAAATTCCACCCCATGGCGCCAGCCACCAGCGGTCACTGAAGCTCTAGCACTGGTGATCTTTGAGGTAGACTTTATTTAAAAAAAAAAGAGTATTATTGTTATTTAATAGTCAAAACTTATTTACATTTTAATTTAATTTTTCGGTCCAGGCAGGGTAAAACCAAAAATCTTTTGATTATTTTTTGCTTAAAAAATGTCCACAGAGGTCCTTAAGTGCGATTTTCCCAAGATTTTTTTTACACGTATAAAAGTTACTAGGTAGGAAAAATCACCATTTTTTTATTCATTAAAAAGATTAGTATACTATAAAGTAATGAAAAAAAAATACTAAGAGTCAAAGTGATCAAGTGATTTGAAAATCACCAGTTAAAATACCCAAGTTGAATTTGTTTTTTTTTTAAATTATGGATACTGTTTCAATGCAAGATTTAAGGCTAAGTTTTTAAGCCAAATGACATTTGACTTTGACTCTCTACTCCAATTTCTCTATTATTTTCCTGCATCCTCTCACAAACAACACTTTACAAAAATTTATAAAATTTAAATTAAAAAAACACCTCGATTTTGATAATGTTTGTGAGAAGATACAGAAAGATAATTGAAAAGACATGGCAATAGAGAATGAAAATCCATGCAAAATGCTAATATTGTACTGAAAGGGTCTGTGAATGCTGAATCCAAGTTAATGTGAAGTTCGAAACCTCATTAAGTCCCTCGACTCTACGTACGTCAGCATGATTTGCAACTAATTAAAAAGAAGAAGAAGAAGAAGAAGAAGAAGAAGGTGAGAGGAGAGTGGTTTCCATTTCTCGAGAATTCAGAGAGGCCCCACAGTCACAGGGGTGGCAACAAGTCCACAGCCTTCCCTCACTTTCCCTGTTACTTTATATAATCTCTTCTCTGTCCCACCTTTTTCCTCCATTTTTCTCTTTACACCTTCCCATGCAAATTTCTTCCCCTCCCTTCCTTCCAATTTTACCCTCCTCTTCTTCCACTCTTCACCCTCCGTACTACGTACTATAGTGCCACTCACTCATCAACCCACACTCTCTCTCTCTCTCTTTTTTATTTTATACACACACACACACACAGCATTCCACATCCCACTCACACACAACATTTATATATATGGTATATCAAAGGTTATTTCAGCTATGATATTCTCAAATATGGATAATACGGAATCTCAGCGGCTTCACAGTGCTGGAGAGAACAGCCATGAACAAGATCTTGAAAAGGACGACATCCTCAAGACAAGAATCTCCAGCCATCCTCTCTATGAGCTCCTCCTTCAAGCTCACTTGCAGTGTTTGAAGGTCTCTCTCTCTCCCCCTCCTTCCCTCTCTCACCTCTACTGATGCATCGTTTCATATAAACGCAGATTTATAGTGATAGTGCATATCTAGTGTTCTTCTCTCATTTCATGATGAAGCATCATCATCTTGAAATAATCCTCCGGTCACACAGACGTTGGATTGTATATATTCAAAGATGATTAGAGCAAAGGCACTGAAGGTGAAAGCTGAAGCCGAAAAGTTGGTGTTTTTCTTTTGTTTGTATGTGTGTGTGTTTGTGTGTACATGTAGGCATTTGATAGTGCAAATTAACTCGTAATGGTTAGAAAGGAATACTGATTACTTAAGGGAAATGAGATGGTCTCTCCATGAATTATTTTACTTTCATTGTGTAGAGCAGGAGAAACAAATTTATGATCAGTTTCTGTCTTGTTCATCAGGTAAGTGAGATTTCCAACTTGGAGAGAGAGCAGGAGATAGATCAGAAGCTAATAATGAACAGGCAAAGCTTAGACATGTACAGTGAGCCAGAGCTTGATCTCTTCATGGTATGACTTTTACTCTCTCTCTCTCTCTCTCTCTCTCTCTCTCTGCAGTCTCAATATTTACACAGAAGCCACTCGATGCTTTAGAGGACATATCTGACTGAGAAATGGGTCTTGTAGTACGGTTCAGGGAATCCCAGGGAAAAAATATGAGAGAGAAAAGGATTAAGATTGTTTAGGTTAATTCTTCATTGATAGAAACCTCTCATGGAACCTCAAAGCATGTTCATGAAAAGGACTTGTCTGATAAATGTGCATAGTTTTTTGTTCCAACCCTATGTGATCACCAGTGTGTGTCCTCATCAAGGGCTCAGATCACTCACCTTTATTATAAATGCTCCACTTTATAACCTGTCTCCTCATCAGTGATCAATATTGCTTCTTTTTCTAAATCAAAACATGACAAAACAGAACTTTTTTTATTGGCAATGTCTATTTTTATAATAACCTAGCTTATAGCTGACACAGTCATGCACTTATTCTTAGAATGCAGAATGGCATCACTAATCTTAGACTTGAGTAGTTTACCAGAAGTATTCTCTTAAGGCATAAAGTTTGAGTGTCACTAATAAAAACTTAATTATTGACTTGCGCACGCGTGTATGTATATATATATATATATATATGAGCATCAGGAAGCATATTGCATGGCATTGGGGAAGCTGAAAGAAGCAATGGAGGAACCACAGCAAAAGGTGATGGCTTTCATAAACAAGATGCATTCACAACTGAAAGAGCTCACTGTTATTAATGCCTTGCCAGGTCATCAACCACCTGCATCTCCTTCGTCTTCTGCTCATTGCAATATTCTTGAAAACGATTCTTCAATTTAGAATAATTAATTAGAGCTTCACTTTCTGAGTGTGCAAGTTATTAGTGTGTCAGAGTTTCCTAGCTAGCAAGGCTTATATTGCTTTAATTTTTATTTAAGGCCTCGTTATCCCTCATTTAGTAAAAGTTCTGTTTAAAGCACTATATATGATATCATCAGTTGAATATGCGTGATTGTGGTTTATACGGTGTTATTATATTAATATGAGTTACAAATACCGAAAGAAAAAGAGAAGAATCAATTGTCTTAACCCTTAATTAACCTTCAATAATGTTTAAAAGGATAAAACATTAAGCTTTGTTTTATTGCATATGGGATATGTATCAGTATTATTCCTTTTAGTCTTTTGCCCTTAGAATACAAGGCTACAGGACACTGCGTGAAAGAAGATAAAAGAAGTCAGTGGTTAAATATTCCTACCCAAAGGTGGAGGGTTAAAAAGTTTTAACTATGGCCGCCACGTGGTGAGCCTGATGTAAATCAACATGTTTATTTGCTTCTATAATGGCTTGATTGCTTAAGCTTAACAATAGTTATTTTATATGATTTAATTAGAGGTTTCATTAAGAAGGAATTTGCTTATTAATGAGAAAAAGGGCTAGTTTTTACTTTCTCAAAGATATTAACATTTAGTACCTGCCTACACTTCAATTAAAATTATCTCTAATATACATATGCCTATGTGCAATAAAAAAATTGATTTAGTTTATAAAAAAAAACTTATGAAAAGAAGATATTATTTTGTATTTAGTTACAATTAAAAAATGATTATTATTTAATAATTTTTAGATTTTATGATCTTTTTGTGCATATCCCTTCATAAAAATCCTATTTATTATTTAATTGTTTTCAAATTTTATTATATTTTGATGTATCTTCGTACTTTTATGACATTTTCTCTTCTCCTAGCTCTAATTATTTCTAGAAATTACTCAGAGTTGCTTTTTCTAAGAATGAGAAATATTTCTTTCAATTGTAATTATTTTCAAAACCATAAACAAATATTATAAAATTTTATCAAAATACTTTTAAAAAATAAGTATTTTTCCGTAAAAAAAAAAACCTGCGGTGAATGGATTTAAAAAGTTACTCTTAGATAACGGTCTAGTTTCTAACGGTAAGATCTCGAGTATTCCTTTAAATTGGACATGCCATAAAGTTGTCTTCTATATCAAATTTCTCGCAAAGGAGGTATTTCTCAATTTGCTTTTTTTATTTCATTTTTCTCAATTTAGTTTTTCATTGCTTTCTCAATGGATTCTGTGTAAATTAAACTACTATAAATAATAAGTGTGAAGCACGTATGTTGCATGGAGTTTAAAAAATAAATTATATTATTCATGACTTAGATTAACGTGGATGGTTTTTCATTATATTTGAATATTTATATGTGCTATCAATAAAATTAACATTCTAAATATTAGATGACGATGAAGACTAAATGACAATCCTTCAACAAATATAGTACATGTTAGTAATCCGTTAGTTTTATAAGAAAATGACATGATAACATCATTGTCAATTATTCTAGTACTGAAAGATTACATTAAAAACGCAATTTTTAAGAGTCAAATAAAAAATATATATCAAGGAACTAAATTAACAAAATAATTCAATAATGGCTTAATCAAAAAGTGCCGTAAAAGATGAAATGGAGATTCAAAGCATTTAACCAAAATTGGAATTTATACAGGTGATCATGGAGGAAGACGCCAGAATTCTTCATCCTCTTGTTTTGCAGTACTCTAGGAACAAAATAGTTGAGAATAAAAATGACCTATTTTATATTGGTTTCGTGGTTGTGGGCTTGCGGCACACCTACCTAAAAGGATAGAATGCATGAGATAAACATTGATTTAACCAAGAAATTGTACTAGCTTAACCAGATGTATGATCCTGAATTTGAGTTCTAAGAGTGCAGTAGCTTATAATGGTAAAGTTTTCACTTAAAATAATCCTGAACAGGCTCAATTCGAATTAGTCAAAACATATATGAGAAAAAATTGACATGATATTTATTGAATTATATAAAATCGTTTGAGATGGTTGAACATATATGATGAAATCGTGAGAGGTATCAGTAAAAAAAGTAAAATATCGTTTTGAACCCTATAAAGAGAAATGGATGAAGACTAAAAAGAAGACTTATAAAAGTTGTTAAACAAAACTTTTTAGTTAACAATATTTTTAAGGGCTTAGTTGATGATGTGATACAATGACATCATACAAATCATGTAACCAACCTACCTGCTGTGAGAAGGCTCGTTGTACAGAGAACTCATCCATCTTGTCTCACGGAGGTGGAGGTTGATGATGGGTAAAGCATTTTTTTTTTTTTTAGCAATCTTTTGATGTAAGGTTGTCTCTTTCGTGGTCAAAGATGTAAGCTTGTCTTAATTGTTACTCTTTTTATCCAAAAAAAACAAAACACACAGATTCGAACTCACAGACTCACAGTAGTGTAATTGCTTCTTAAAGTTGTCGTTGGATCTCACGTGGCACTTGTAATTTTGTTCAGGTAAACAGAGTACAAGAAACTCTTCACATGTCGGTCTAAAAGAAAATGTCATGAAGGTATTTGATTGTCTTCTTTGAACTTCTGTAAAATTATAGTTCAGATAAAAGTACACAGATATTCACACAGTACTCAGAAAGAGAGTTTCCTGCAATGCCTCGTTATTTATTTCTAAACCATACAGGAAGAAGACGCTTATAATTTGTTTGGTTACATTGTTCAGTTGGAAACCATACTTTCAGTCTCTTCCACAAAACCATCTCCTGTCCAGTCTTTATCAGATTGCAAACCTTTCTTTATGGCTTTCCTCTGTCGAATTGCTTCTTGTTGCCTCCTTACCAAGTCAGTGTGAGTAGTGAAATACTGGAGAGACACCCTGCGGTTTTTATGACACAGAACAGGTAAAAGATTATTGATGAATGGATTTAACATTCCTGGAATTTTTATCGAGTGAGTTTGTGAGCTATTGGGAATCAGCTCAGATGAAGCTCATACATACCCTCTGAAATCCTCTATTGATGTGAAATTATGCTTTCTCATGAAGTCTTTAAGCTCCGCACATAGTTTCTTCACAAGGCCATAGCCATGCATCATGACCCCAGTGCATACCTACACGGTTGGAAAACTCAAATGATGATCATCATTAACTCCTCACTGTCTGAAAGGTTATATGTTATAACATCAAAAACTTTCATCAAACAATGATTTATTCAAAGTCAGGAAATGGGCCTTCATAAATTTCAAAGCCATCACGGGTATCCATGAATCAGTTGACACTAAACTCGAAACCCGATTTTCTTAGTCTGTGGAAAGCGTCGTGTTGAACTAATCCTTCAGCATTGACATAGTTCTTTGAAGTGATATGTTATGGATAAAGATAAACCCATTTAACTATAAGAAACTTGGGGGCAATGTTCATAGTGCTGAACAGTAAAAGCACCAAAGAGACCTAAGAAGCTAATTGCCTGACATACCTGAACAGTATTTGCCCCTAGAAGAATAAATTCAGCAGCATCACCACCAGTCTCAACACCACCTATGCCAGACAGTGAGTAGTAATCACTGTCAAACTCAGACTTCATCATTTTTGCGATGTTCATCACCTTCCCAAGTGCAATGGGATGAACTGCCTTTGCAGAATAACCCCCAGGAGTTGAATATCTGGTGAATTTTAGACAGCATTAGATTAGATGTTCATAAACATGAGGAAGGAAAAACCATGAAGTTTTGGGCATTGAGATTGCAAACCCCTCAACACAAGGCTCAGGGTGTAATGTATTGAGATTGATTCCCATGACGCTCATGATTGTATTTATAGCAGATACTCCCTCGCATCCTGATCTAAGAGCAACTCTTGCTGGCTATAAACAGAAGCAACAGAGTCCAATAACAGTATGGTCAAGAGTGATGATGATCTTCATCAATGATGGACAGAGAATTAGAATGCAAGTTACAAAGCTAACCTGTGCAATATCAGTGATGTTAGGAGTCATTTTAGCCCAAACAGGAACTGTAGCCTTCTCATTTATCCATCCGCAAACCTCTTCCAGAAGCGCACAATCTTGCCCAACCGCTGCACCCATTTTGCGTTCTGGCATACCGTGAGGACAGGAAAAATTTATTTCAATTGCGTCCTACAAGAATGTCAGACGAGTGAGATGCCAGAATTTTAGCTAGAAAAATATGAGTTCGCGAACTCAGCAAGACATCTTACAACTCCAGTTTGCTCAACCCGGTCAATAAGCTCCTGCCAGGCAGCTTTATTGTACTCCTCCATAATTGAAGCAATGAGAATTCTATCTGGGTACTCTTCTTTTAACTGCTTAAATTCTTTCAACATAGTTTCAAGAGGACGGTCACTGATAAGTTCTATGTTCTCCCATCCAATAATCTCTCCTTTGGCAGAACCATTTGCACCAGCCCGTAGTCGGGCATATCGAGGAGTCACATTTATGACTTTTGCTGCATCAAGTGACACCTAGCAAAAGAATAGCATCAAATTTCCTGGTTATCTTTTAACCGGGATGCTAAACACCAGTTGCATGTAAATTGACTACAGTGAAATAACTAATACCAGCAACAAAAAATTTTCCCATGGAGAGATTTGAGAAATTTCATGCCAAGGTGAAGTTTTAGTTCATGTAGTCCAAAAATGATGGCAAACAGTGACTTTAAATTAAAAAAAAAAAAAGTTCTCAGTGCACTTGTGGTTTATAGGTCGAGAGATTATTTGCAGAGCAGGCCTATAACTGGAAAATAACAAACAATAAATTGACCTCACCAAAACTAGTCAAAATTACAATTTGTCTAATTTGATTTTCTTTCTAAAAAATGATTATGATACATATTCCTAATGGCATAAGGACTTCAGATGCCAACAAGCAAACAAGGAACTAAACCCTAATTGAATTGTTCAAAATTCAAATAACACATGCGGTTATTAGAAGTTTAGATTAACATAAAACCCGCTTGTTCAGATAACACTACACTATTTATAGCCATTAATTCAAAAAGCATATCCCGATTAGATGTGATACATTGGGTCATGCACCAATAAAATAGTTATCATTAATTTGTGAATTGTAAAACCCTTTTGTGAACCATTAGACATTTTGTCAATAGAAAGGGCTATGTCTTTAAACAGTTCTAACTGTTGTAAAAGACAATGAAGCCTTCCAAATTTTTGGCATCAAGTAAATCCTCAATAAACATGCTGAAAGTGTTTGATTTTTAGACAGATGACTGATGACCAAGCCTTTCTTAAACCGATACAATAAAGTATATAAAAAATTTTGCTTGCACTCTAATAAAAAGTCAACCTTAAAACAACAATCACCGATTTTGGCAAGTATCAAATTCTTGACAGCAAATCATTGTGAATTTCCTTAAGTTACTCCACCTTACTATCATCAAGTAATACTTCTGTTTGGCAGGAGGAAAACAATGTTCTGAATTGTCTCAGAGTAGTTTAATGCTAATTAAGAGGAAGCAGATGCGGGGAATCTGAACCAAATGGCTAGAAAAAACAATGATATAATTTTACAGGAAAGCTGCAGGACCTGCTTAGTGCTAACTTCTACAGAATCAGAAAAGATTAACATACTAGACTATCTTAGAGTATATGCACATATACAATTTCTTTTGCACCATTCACTTTGTGGAGCATTTAGAATGATGAACAAATTACAATTATTTACTGGATTTAACGGGCAGCAGCACGTCCATCCAAAATCCATAAATAACAATGAAACTAAAACCAACACTGAGAGGGAGGAAAGCCTTCTTACAGTCTTATTTTTATGACAAACAGCTTACCAATGATGGATCGAAAAATTAACAGAATATATAGCTTAAAAAGACAACTTTACATCTTCTCAGCTTTAATTCAAGTGACTCCTGTATTTACATCAATAGCAACTTACCCGTGGATAGCCTTAAAAAAATACAGGATTGTCCCACAGTCCCAATCCCAATTAACCAACATAAACTATAAAGCTTGATTGCCTAAAGATACATAGTGTGGTCACTGGCTGAGCGCCAAAACGCAATTTATTCCATGACACGAAGATAAACATTAAATCTGTTCATTTTAGCACCATAAGCAGTGCTTATCCCTCTGTCACTGCATTGCCTATGCCTTTCTTAAATTTTTGTTTTGTGCAATTGTACACGCCCCTCACGAACTATTCCATTTCATCCCACTCAATCTCAATTTCCACTCTGAAATGAAAAGGAACCAAAGTTTTAGTGAAATATTGAAGATCCGACGGCTCTTTCTGGATCAAGTCAAAATTTACTTATGGGATGCAGAATCCTCCATGTTGCAAGGTCCAAGGAGGCAAAATCTGACGATCGAGTGGTAATATCAACCAGGAAAAACAGATAGTAGATAGCAAGAGCTCGTTAATAGACCAAAAGCAGCTCAGTTTATATCAAGTCAAAAAGAACAAGGCCTGACAAAATCCCTAACACAGCCATGGGCCTATCCTAATCAATATGGAATCATGGAAAAGAGGGAGGTGGAGAAGAGGGAAGAATCTTCGAACAATTGACTGTACTTGTCCTAATCAAGCAAAGTACAGTAGTTGACATCCAAGTTTTACACCACAGACGATAACAGTGGAAAACTTCTTTGTTTTTTAGCCAAGAACAGTCAGTTGATCAGGATAGAGTACATAATATGATGTACTTCAGCCACCGGTGTTCCTGAACACAAATTACTGTAAATTTCCAGATATCAGATCCTTATGATTATGATTGTTAGTTTAGTTTTACTGGAAAACGAAATAAGCAGAGAAGCCAATGCAGGGGACGTAGCAATTACACAGGGATTAGGCAAGCGTAATCCATTAACGAAATCTTACAGTCTTAGCAATCACGGCCCCCCATCCTTCATCAAAGGCCCTTTTCATGACGGTGTAATTGGTTCCGGTGGACCCGACCCAATTACAAAGGGATTAGGCAAGTGTAATCCATTAACGTTAACACTAAGATCTGGTTCTGTCTGAGTCTCCGAAGCATAAACCTTAAACCCAACTCTGCTAGGACGAATCAGAGTTGTGGGACGACGAGGTAAGCCGAACCCAGAAGCCGAACGCCCAGTTTTGATGTGGGTCCCGGTCAAACTGAGAGATGCCATGATGGATTTGAGTTTCTGCAAAGCTCAGATGCCGATGAAGGATAAGGAGGAGGAGGAAGGTGAAGGAGAAAAAATGAATCTGAGTGTAATATTCTTGATGACTTTGGAAAGCAGAAAACGTATGATAATGGGGAATCGTTTGCGTCTGTAGCCCTTGGATGATGGTGAGAAGAAATCTCGGAATAATCTAAACAAGTACCTAAAGAGTTGAACTTTGCACGTGAAAGTGACCGAGATCTGAAAGAGAATCAAAAAAAAAAAAGCAAAAGAAAAATGGTATCTCTTGGGATCTTGAATTCTTAATTTGGAATTACGGACAGGAGCGAGAAATGGTGGGCATAGTGGGTGGAATGGAAATGGAACCCAGGAGGATGTTCACCACTGAACGAGAGCAAGAATCCTTGAAAATCATTACTCGTTTCCATATCCATTATCCAAACACGTCCGGGTTCTCATCCGTTTTTGTATGGAAGGCAATTCCTCCTGTCGAATCATCATCAATATAAAATTTGAAATTTACAATAGAAAAAATACATGCATACATATATATACAACTAGCAAGTAATGACTTCTGGAATGGATGAGAAAAATATAAATGATCAACTATAAATGATTTCCATTCCAGAAGTAACATAATTTTGCATGAAAAAAAAAATATCATGCCATTGCTCCAAGAATACTAAAACGTCAATCAACCATACAACAATTAAACTAATCAAGAGAAACAAATACAATACAGCAAGTTAATCCACACCATTGACACCAGTTCCTATATGATTATTTCGTACAAAAAATTGCCGAACAAAAAGAGATCAGCACAAATTCATTTAAATTTATGTATGATCCAAGAATACTAAATCGTAAATCTACAGCATGTATGTGAGACACAACCAACTGCGAGTCAAGAATAATAATAATTTTTGGTACTTACATAACTAATATGGGTGTTGTCATAGTACAAAACAACAACAACAACAACAACAAGCCTTTATCCCACTAGGTGGGGTCGGCTACATGGATTGCAAGACGCCATTGTGCTCTATCATTTATTAAGCTTTTAGAAATATTATTAATTAAGAGATCACGTTCAACAACTTCCAAGAGTGTTCTCTTAGGCCTTCCTCTACCTCTCTTAATCGGACTCAAAGTTATATGTTCCACTCTTCTCACTGGTGCCTCCCTTGGTCTTCTTTGTACATGCCCAAACCATCTCAACCGATTTTCTACCATTTTTTCCTCAATAGGTGCCACCCTCACTTTTTCACGTATGTGCTCATTTCGAATTTTATCTTTACGTGTATGTCCGCACATCCATCGTAACATTCTCATCTCTGCTACTCCAACTTTATGCTCTTGCTGTCCCGTTAGAGCCCAGCATTCACTACTATATAACATTGCCGGTCTGATAGCAGTACGATAAAACTTTCCTTTAAGTTTATTAGGCACCTTACGGTCACAAATAACTCCTTTAGCTTTTCTCCAATTAAACCACCCAGCTTGAATTCTATGTGAAATATCTCCACTGATTTCGCCATCATTTTGAATAATGGCTCCCAAATATCTAAACTTTTCCACTTGAGGTATAATTTGATCTCCCAATTTCACTTCCAAATTATTTTCGAATAGTCCTTTACCAAATTTACAATATAAATATCCGTCTTACTTCTACTCAGACGAAAACCTTTCGACTCCAATGTCCTCCTCCATAACTCAAGTTTGCAATTAACCTCTTCTCTTGTCTCTGCTATAAGAACTATATCATCCGCGAAGAGCATACATTTCGGGATTTCCTCTTGAATATGTTCCGTCAAAACATTTAAAATCAAGTTGAACAAATAAGGACTCAGAGATGATCCCTGATGTAGTCCAATCTTTATAGGAAAATCCTTTGTTTGACCACTAGGCGTTCTTATACTAGTTTTTACCCCCTCATACATATCTTGTATGGCTTTAATATAAGCAATCCGTACTCCCTTTTTTTCCAACGCTTTCCAAAGCACTTCTCTTGGTATACGGTCATAAGCTTTTTCCAAATCAATAAAAACCATGTGTAGATCTTTATCTTTACAACGATACTTTTCCATTAATCCCCTTAGTAGATAAATCGCCTCTGTAGTTGATCTACCTGGCATAAAACCAAATTGATTCTCAGAAATACTTGTCTCCAATCTCAACCTGTGCTCAATTACTTTCTCCCACAATTTCATTGTGTGGCTCATGAGTTTAATCCCTCTATAGTTAGTACAATTCTGAATATCTCCTTTATTTTTATAAATAGGAATTAATGTACTTCTCCTCCACTCATCAGGCATTTTCTTGGACCGTAAAATCACATTAAATAACTTAGTTAACCATCTCACCCCTTCTTCACCTAAACATTTCCACGCTTCGATAGATATACAATCAGGTCCGTTAGCTCTACCATTTGCCATTTTCTTAAGAGCTTCCTTTACCTCCTTATCACGTATTTTTCGATAGAATGACAAATTTTGTTCTCCTTCACCAGTTACTAAATCCTCCAAGTTACTAGATGAATCCTCTCCATCATTGAAAAGTTTAGAAAAATAAGTCTCCCATCTATTTTTAATTTCATCATCTGTAACTAAAATTCTTCCCTCTTCATCCTTAATACACCTTACCTGTTCTAGATCTCTTGATTTTCTTTCCCTACTCTTGGCAATCTTATAAATATTTTGCTCTCCTTCCTTCGTCTCAAGGTTCTTATAAAATTCTTCAAAAGCTTTAGAACGAGCTTCACCCACAGCTCTCTTAGTTTCCTTCTTAGCCATACGGTACCTCTCCCAATTTTCCTCATTGTTACACAAATGTATGGCTTTAAAACAGTTCTTCTTATACTTGATTTTGTCCTGTACACTATTATTCCACCACCAAGACTCCTTATCTCTCGGACCAGAACCTTTCGATTCTCCCAAAACTACTTTTGCAACCTCCCGTATCTTTTTAGCCATATCCTCCCATATGATGTTAGCACTTCCCTGAGAATCCCAAATTCCTTTATCCAAAAGATTTCGCTTGAAAATATCTTGCTTCTCACCTTTTAATTGCCACCACCTAATCCTTGGTGTTACTACTTGTCGACGTTTTTGGATTTTACTCATAATACACACATCAAGGACTAGGACCCTATGTTGTGTCGTTACAGCATCTCCAGGGATCACCTTACAATTTTTACAAAGTTTTCTATCTGTGTTCCTAACCAAAAGAAAATCAATCTGCGACCTTGAGGCTCCACTTTTGTAGGTGATGAGATGCTCATCTCTCTTCTTGAAACAAGTGTTGGCAATCTTAAAATCATACGCCAATGAGAAATCAAGAAGAGTTTGCCCTTCATTGTTTAGCTCTCCAAAACCAAAACCACCATGCACCCTCGCATACTGACCAGCTTCCCTCCCGACATGCCCATTAAAGTCTCCTCCAATAAAAATCTTTTCACTCTGTGGTATGTGTCGAATCAACCCCTCCAGATCCTCCCAAAATAATTCCTTAAGACTGGCTTCTGTCCCGACTTGCGGCGCATAAGCGCTAACAATATTAACAGTCTCACGTCCAATTATCATTTTTAAAGAAATAATTCTGTCTCCAATTCTGCTAACTTCTACAACGTTCTTCTTCCACTCCTTATCTATAATGATGCCTACTCCATTGCGTGCACTTACTTTTCCTGTATACCAAAGTTTGAAACCTTGAATATCCTTAGCTTCTTCTCCACGCCATTTTGTTTCTTGCAAGCAAAGGATATTGATTTTCCTTTGAATCATAACCCCTACAACCTCTACAGATTTACAATTTAATGTCCCAACATTCCAAGTACCAAATCTAATTTTGCTCTTATGGACTAACTTCTTTAGCCGCGTGCGTCCAGAATGACGCGGTAGCCCTTGCTCATTTAACACTACATCCGGGCGCCGATGCAGCGGCTCTAACTCACTTATCACTGTACTCGAGCCATGCAGCGCGTTACTTACGGGCAACGACCTAGCATTAACATTATAACGTCTATTGTCCATGTTCATGATAGATTCAACAAATTTTTACATTGGCTGTTGATGGCCTAACACAACCCTCCTCCTTTACCCGGGCTTGGGACCGGCTATAAACATAGGCGGAGTTGTGTAGTCATAGTACAAAACTCAAGAATTCAGAATGTTGACTATTATTGTGCATTACGTAATTTATATTTATCATTATCAATCTTGTTGGCAATCCATGAAATAATTTTGAAAATCTTAATTACCTCACAGTGTTGTGCACAATACATCATGATAGCATCACTGTCATACATATCACTTCTAGAATCTTGGTGTGCTGCTGGCGAAAAACTTACAGTTACAAACTAAATTTCAATAGATAACTATAAAGAATCACCAATTGAATATGCATCATACTGTTATATCTCACAAAAATTGTTAAAAACAGGGAGCATAATGTGGTGCTCAAGAAATATGATTTATTAAAATAAGGGATTGCAAATGATTGCAATCTAAATCCTGCAATCATGAACCTTGTTGGAAAATATGAACATTCATTGACTTTACAAGATATTCAAAAGCTCAATAACTTAAAATGCCCAATACACAGAGAAGGAAACGACTGAAAAAAGTAATCCTACAAATTAGTTGAACGTAGTTAGCTATCAATGAAATGCCTACTTAAAGAATATTGAGTTTATAATTAAAAAAATCAACTTATAAGACATAGCATTCATTGAGTCCCATATTAATTCACATTGGTCGATAATAAGACATAGAAACCATAATGATATCATGCAAAATTCATCATCTTGCACCCTTTTGGAATGGACTATACTATATGCATTGAATAAAACATATGTTCCAATACATATGGTTCATACATTAATTCATTCAATAAATTACATGATAAGGAAGAAATTAGTGTCATAATTTAAAATATATAAACGTACTACAAGGAAAATATTGTTTTCATAGCACTGATTAATCACGACATTCAATTCACAGGAAGGTACTCCTAACATGCCTTAACTATAATTAACAACTAACCATGTTATAAATTAATGAAGCTGTAAATTAAGCATCTGCCACATTGTTACCAAGATCATAAGCCATATCTATTGTCACTAAACACAAAGCAACAATAGATAGCCAGTAAAAAAAAAAATATTACACATAGAAATGGTGCCATCATATACATTGATTGAATGGGGAAAAAAAGTGTCATGATACTGAATTGATATAAGCAGCCGGAAGCAACCAAACCTTGATAAATCTTCTGATATAAAAAGCTAGAAATCTGGTAAAAGCTTTACCTACAGTGGCATGGTCACAATTGCATAAAGGATACACTCTTATTTGCAAAGAAATCTATATATACACAGTAGGAAAGGTATAATAAATAAAATGAACTAACTACACTAAAAAACATCATACCAA